CATTCATGCTGACGCTGTTTCCGAGGCAATCTCCTTCGATTCCGGTGAAAAGGTGCTAAGCTTTTGTCCGCCATATGGTGAATATCATTAGAGCAAGGTATCATCGTCACAACCAAATTCAAGCTAACGAGTCAAGAAAACTCACAGGCAAATCCCATTGAAAGCGGTCTATATACTGTACATCTAGCCTCTTTGATGAGGTATAAAGTGATTTGGTTAGTTACGGTCATATGTCAACTTCGAAGCCTGTGAGTGTCTGTCTTTGTATGTGTATGTATGAATGTTCTTGAATAGTTAGCTTGAATTGTGTTGTGACGATGATACCTTACTCTGATGGTGTTCGTCACATGACGGACGAAAGATTAGCACCTTTTCACCGGATTCGAAGGAGATAACCTCGGTAACAGCGTCGACAAGAATGTTCTAGTAAAGCCAATCGGTAACTGGTAAAGAGGAATCAGCCGTCGTCTTCTCGTGGAACCGACCTTCGAATCTCTTCACTCAAAACTTTCACTCGAAATGGAAGTAAGCTGAACAATTATAAAACAAGAGATGCCTCGAAACCCAACTTTTCTTCGCATAAGAATTTGGTGATCCTAAGTCGCTTAAACTGAGTTGAGGACGGATATCGGAGTTCCTTTTAAACGAATATGCGTAGGCCTCATAATAAGATTGAGTTTTAGCCAGCCTCGCCTTCAGTAGTTAGGCCATCTAAAAAGCCTGAATATCGAAACAAGCTAATGCCACTTACAATGTTCTTAACTATCTTTCTGCAAATGTATTTAAAAGTGGAGAATTCGTCAACATTTCCCTTTCTGCCATTTTTCTCCCCAATTCCTGAATTAAACCCTTATTTCGACCCCGCTTTCGATCCTCTTCAAGCTTGTCTGACCGAGTGGGTCACAACTAAGCAGCTGTGGCATATAAAACCAGATATGCAATTGAATTAGATACCATTTGAATATTATAGGCATGTGTTAGGATGATCAGGTGCTGTCTCAACACTTCCAAGTCGTTGGTATGCAAAGGTACGGACGCGGTGAGCTCATTGGTCGCGATACCACCTCCGGTGGCGGCCAGCAGTAGATTGATTTGAGTCGGCATCCAGGGCCCCGTTCCATCCAGACAAACAGGAATCATTCCTGCCGGTTGTGGCGTTTTCTCCAAAAATTTGCAACGAGATACTCGATTTTCATGCTTTGACGCCTGTGCTGATTCATGCGACTCTCTGGCGCTCAAAGCCATAGGGAGCCCCTGGGAGCCCTGAGCTCTCAAGGCAGATCGTATCGGTGCTTGTTGTGTAGTCTTCAGAAAGACACCAGAACCTGCCTCATTTTCACGAGGCTCTTGGGACGTACTTGAGGCTGCTACTTGAGCTGTAGCAGCGCCAGATCCTTGCTTCACCTCAACCAGTGACAGCTTGGTGGTAGCGATCCCCTGAGTGGAGGCTGCGGTCGCCGGGCCTGCTGTCTGCGATTCTCCCGGATTTCCTGCAACCAAGCCCTCTTCATCGTCAGAACCTGTTAATAGAAATCGTGACAAGTCTGGCCATGCAAAAAATGGAAGAAGAGAGATTAAATCAGCCCTAAAAACGTTTACTTTCTCTTCTAGTAGGTCTTCGAGAAATCCAGTACATCAGAGATATAAGATGTGTACACTCTATTTCGTTTAAGATGATGAAGGGTTGGTAGTTTAATTTTTTCACAATCATGTGAGTACAGCCGGCATTTCCATTAAATTTCACATAGCCTAGCTTTCTGTAAAGGTATTCACATTCCGGGCGGAGTGGACTGCAGTTTCGACTTCACCTAGGTCTTTTTAACACCTCGGCGAGAGTCAAACCATGACAGTGTAGCGTGTAATCTCGACACATTAACTAATACGCGACATGATCTGATTGTCTGATAGTCTCGAAAACCCATTTCGAATGAAATATAAGTGGGGTCGTCGATTGCTATAGGAAATATAAGTTATGTCATTCGACAATCCCACCACGGAATGTGATATGGGCAAATGTCTGGCCTTCCTTGCAATGCACATCCACCCTGTGATGAAAAAGCACTCGTGGCAAGTGGAGTAGTGGTTAAGACGACAAGATTACACGCTGCAATATCATGGGTTAAATCAAGTTGTGGGTGTCTATAAGACCTAAGTGAGGTCTAAATTGCAATTGTTGAGCCTACTTCCATTTCGAGTGAAAGTGTTGGATAAAGAGATTCGAACGTCGGTTCCACCAGAAGACGACGGCGGCTTTAC